GGGGGGGTCTGACAGTTGAGGGGGTGCGGGAAGGTTGGGGGGGTCTGGCAGCTCTGCAGGGAGATTCGGGTGGTTGTCTCTAGCAGGCATTGCTGTTGATGTCTTGCTGTCCCCAGACAGGAGCAGGCGGTGGGGCCACATTTCTCCTTCTCCGGTGCCAGGGCTGAAAATATTGGGATCCCAGGGCTGGTGCTTCCTATGGTCTGTCTCTAGGAGCAGCCCACCTTGTCCCAGGGGCACGCGCACACCCAGCAGCTTTACCTCCCTGCTGGCTGCTCAGTGTTCACATGATCTGGGTCGGTCTGCAGCCTGATCCAGAGCGAAGGGCTTCCAGGGCCAGGTGGAGCCCTGAGCAGAGCTCACTGCTGGCTGGGAGCAGGGCTAAGGGGTGGGATCAGAGCAGAGGTCTGGGAGCTGGGATTGTGAGGCTCTAATTCTAGCTCTCGTTTTGTGCCCATGGCAATCTCCTTCCCCCGTGCCTCAGTTTCTCTGTCTGTAGATGGGAATCATGACATTTTCCTGTCTGCGGGGGTGTCTGGATTAATTCCGTTGTGTTTGAAAAGCCCAGTACAAATGCTCACAGTGGTGGCTTTGATCTCTGAAGGGACCACTATCAGCAGCACCTGGTTGCTGTTTCCATTTCAGTCTCTCTGCTGGTTTTTATAAGTGCACAGTGAGTGGGAATGTGACGTGCTAGCTCAAAACCGGGATCCGTTCCTGAGAGCAGCACCTTGCTAGTGGCACCCGCTCTACGGCTTCTGCTGTCTGCTGCCATTTTCCCAGGAAGCCCCACTGCTCCACAGTGACCATGCTCTGGTCTGTGAGCCAGCATTAATGCTGGTCTTGCATTGGGTTTCCTGTAATGAGCATCACTTGACATCTGAATAGCTGCCAGGATGAAACTCAGAAATGCTGATTTCTAATTAAAGACGAGAAATGTGTCTCCTGTCCTGGCTTCAGAGCCTGAAGTGTTCGTTTGCAGTCCAAGCTACCCAGCAAGGAGGGAGCCGTGGGTTGCCAAGGGAGGCCTGGTTTTGCCCTCCATATCTTAGCTTACTTACTCATAAGGAGGCAACTCCGCCACCTTTGACCAGAAGCCATTTTATGTCTCTGTGCACATGCTTTCAATATCAGTGAAGTTGCAAGTACAAGAAATGAGCCAGGTGTACCAGTGAATCTTGGGATGAATAAGTTATGTGAGTGAGCATTAGTGGGTGATGGGAGCTCTAATTTCACATGCTGACAGAGGAGACCAGGCAGCAGCAATTAATTACTAGTTAATATTTCAGAGCCAGAGTTATCTAGAGGTGCTAGCAAGAGTGTGTGGGGGGGGGGGGGGGCAGGGGGCATAGCTGTCTTCCTGGCTCTGGGAAGGAGTGCAGTCTGGTGGCAAGAGCAGAGGGGACTGAGAATTGGAACTCCTGGGTTCTGCCTCTCAGTTGCTGTACAATCCACTTAAGGCATTTCATCCCTCCTGCTCCAGTTCCCCTATCTGTGAAATGGAGATGATTATTGCCTGCATTTGGGGGGTGGGGGACATGCAAGATTGAGTTAGCAAATATTCGTGCGGTACTTTGAGAGCCAGTGAGCAAAGAAGGCATCAGGGAGGTGCCCAGTGTTAGCATTTTAATTGGCCTACTCTGGGAATGTGTCTGCGTGCCCAAAGGGGCATGTGATTGCCTGCTGTACAAGTCCTATGGAGCCTGTTCACAAGACCTGCTTGCTGCTGTATTGCACGCCAATATCCCGAGACGGTTCCCCTTGGAGCTTCCCTGCTTCCACTAGGCATTTGGGCCAGATGCCAGCAGCACCCAGAGCTCTCATTCGCCTGCCTCCTTCCTCTCCCAGGTGGCTTTGCTTTTCTGGGTCTTGGAAGAGGCGGGGCTCCAGAGTATGTTGGCTGTTGAAGGACTGATTGGGGGTGGAAAGTACAGATGCTGCCACTAGAATAGCAGTGGCCGGAGGGGGTGGGGAGTAGTACAGACCCTTCTGCTGGGAAAAGGCACTCTGCTAAGGAGAGAGCAGCATGGATCCTGCCACCAGAGAGTCTGTGTACCAGGCTAGGGCTCTGTGCTGCAGCACAGAGGTCCTTTGATACACTTGGATAGTCATCTCCGCCCCCCCCCCCCCCGCCCAGTTCAGAGACATGGGTGAGCAGCCCAGGCATCCTCGCCTTTCCTTGTGTGGAAAGTTTCCTTCTACTGTTGAGTTCAGCTGATAGACTCAAGCTCACTTGATGGGAGCAAAGTGCTTGTCTGTGTTGGTATGGAGCTGGCTCGTCCTGGCCCTGCTCCTCTGAGGACATGACTGACCTTGCCCTGGGTGCCCAGAACTTCACACCCGGTGCCCAGAACCAACAAAAAGTTGTGATTCCCAGACTTGCTTGTATTCTTCAACTCTCCAGCCTGCAGCACCCGGACCCCTCACTGACATGTCCCTGGGGCTTTGTCCCTTCCAGAGAACACTGAGGGGCTTAGTGAGTTCCCGTAACTTTTGCAACCTATCCCTGTGCAGGCAGAATTTGAGAGAACTCCCTCCAGCTGCACCATGAAGCTCACCCTGAGCTGCCTTCACTCAGAGAGGCTCTGACTAGAGATAGTAGGAGAGGCTGGGGGTGTTTTTGATGAACTCTACATTGATGTAGAACTGAGACCAGAGGCTTAACTTCCTGGGGCTGCCGATGCCATGTGCTGGATAAATGTGGGGGTGTAGGTCCCAAATGGAAACTGTGGGAATCCGAGAGGGAGAAGCCTGTACATCGTGGGTATCTCTGAATTCTGCTGGACAAAAGCAATGTCCTCTTCCCTGCACGGCATTTAATTGAGCCCTGCTGTCCGCATCCGTTCCTGGGGGGCGGTGAGATGGAAGGGAAATGTAAATGAGGAAACAAACAGACCAAAGTGAAAACAGATCTAGGGGGATGTTCACGTCCCATATAGAGTTGAGGATTCTGAACCCTCTCCATCCTCGCTCCCCCACACCCTGCACTGGGCCTAGTTCATCTCTGCCCTTGACCCGCTGCAGTAACACCCTGCAGTCTGCTTCTCCCATGTAGCATGCTCAGAACACTGCTGACAGTTGCCTTCCCCTGTCACTGCTCCATCAGTGTCACACCCAACTGAGTCTGCACTGGCTTCTCTTCAGAGCTCTCTATTGCTGCCCTTGTCCCCTCTGCCCAGTCCTGCTCTGCAGTCTCCCATAATCATGTGAAGTGGTGTCCCCGCGTGCGCACACGGCACACTCCGTCCCTCAGAGCTGGTCAGAAAAACAATATTTCAGTACAAAATGGGTTGCGGGGCGAATTGAGATGTTTTCAGAGACCAGCCAGCTTCTTTCCTGATTCTCTCTCTCTCCTGGGGCCCTGCAATGCATTCTGATCACACTCTGTGGTGTCATACTTACCCAGGAGATCTTTAGGGCAGAGAGCTCTCTGGCAACTAAGTCTGGAGTTGGAGTCTTCATCCCAATTCAGTGTGTGGTCCAACAGCCCTTAGCACAATCCAGACGTAGCCCCAGTCAGCAGGGCTTGTACGCGGGTTCGCAGCAGCTGGGGTTGCTGTCTTTGGGATGGATGGGTCTCTGGGAGGTGTCCTGGGGCAGCAGCTAGCCTGGTGAAATGGTAGCTCCTGTACTGCTGACTGAGATGGGCCTTCCTGGGGGGGGTCTGTCACCTCTTCCAAAGGGGCACGTGGGGAGGTTGGTTTCTGACCCATTGCTCTTTTGGACAATTTCTCATTCTTGCTGCTTCGTCTGGGGTCGGTTCCACTCAGGCTTTCTCTGCTGTCAGACACCCTGGAGGTCACCTGCTGGTTCTGCCTTCTCCTCTAGATGCCTCACTCCAGAAGGTACCACTCGTCGGAGCGCAGCAGCCGAGGCAGCTATCACGAGCGCTATAGAAGTCGCAAGCACAAGAGGCGGCGGACGCGGTCCCGGTCAAGCAGCAGTGAGCGTGACCGGCGGCACCGGCGGGAAGACAGTTACCACGTTCGCTCCAGGAGGTGAGTGCCGAGGGCAGGCTGGGACCTGGCTGCACCCCGTAACTGCACTGAAGGCAGCTGCAGTCAGCTCAGTTTCTGCCAGCCAAATGGCCTGGCAAGTTTGGTGCCCCAGTTTGGAGGAAAGACTGACCGGCTGCCCCCTGCTAGTCACTCAGGGGGGAAGTGCACTGATGCCAGCAGGTATAGGATGGTGTCTGGAGGACTATTGCCAATGGGGCTGCGGGGAGAGCTGCTTTAGTCCTTCCTGGGGGAGCATGTGAGCAGTCACTAAAGCCTGAACTCAGGGAAGCCCCAAACCCTTCATCTGCTCAGACAGAGCTGGGGCCAATCATGTTCCAATTACTCTTCTTCCCCACCCCAGCTATGACGACCACTCTTCGGACAGGAGAGCCTATGACAGGCGCTACTGTGACAGCTACAGGCGGAATGACTACAGCCGTGAACGAGGGGAAGCCTACTACGAAACTGAGTACCGCCACTCTTATGAGTACCGGCGCTCCCGGGACCATGACGGCAGCTACCGGAGCTGCAAAAGCAGCCGGCGTAATAAACACAGGCGGAGACGGCGCCGCAGCCGGTCCTTTAGCTGCTCCTCATCGGTGAGTACCCTGTAACTCCAGATCTTTCCCTGTAACCTTTCTCTCCCAGGTTGCGCGCTTGGTAAGTAGGATACTCACTTACTTTCTTACACAGTCTCAGACTCAGCTTGTGAAATGCATAGAAACACCTAGTGCAGGCAGCTGCTCCCATCCGCCGTCCTGATGCGCCAGTGCAGCGGCTGCCCTGAGCCTGATGGGCCCAGGCAGCTTTCGGGCACCTCTTGGGTTACCCACCCTCCAGTAGGAGAAGCCAGGAGAGGAGCTGTGCGCCCCATGGGGCCCAGTGCAACCCATGTGGGTCTGTGCAGCCCCCACCTCTTGTTTCCCCAGGCGGTGATGCTGTGACTGTCGTTCCCATCTCCTGTCCCCCAGTAGGGTGCTGTTGTTGTGGTTGTGTGTGTTGTTTGTATCACAGTACTGCTTAGGGGCTGCAACCAAGCAGCAGGGTCTCTGTGCTGGGCAGCATGGAAGTGATAAGATGGTCCCTGCCTCAGAGAGCTCAGTATCACTGTGACTGAAGGACTGGCCCCTGCAGCCCCAGTGCCTGGCATCCCCACTGGAGTGGTGCTGTGGCAGGAGGCCTGTCCCTGGGGTGCTCAGCTCTTGTGTCTGAGCAGTAGAGCCATCCCTTGGTTTCTGTTGGGTGGGCCCTGGCTATTTAAGATGTTGTGCAGGGGGCTCTGGCAAAACAGTTTGGCATGTGGACCAATCAGTTCAGATGGAGGCAGCAGGCTCTTTCCAGCGTGGGGTCCCCAGCCTTCTTCCTCTTGCCTACGCTGCTGCTTGCCTTCCATTTTCTTTAGGCCCAAGATACTCTGTCTCCACTTGGTGTCCTGGCCGCATGTTCAGGGCTGTTCCAGGACTAGGATGGGAGTCCTGGGCTGGAGATGGGGCCCCCAGGGCTGCTGGCTCTTTGCTCCCAAGTGTGGGGTTACTTAGCTGAAGAAGAACTGAAAACAGGAACTCTTTCTTCTCTGGTGCAAGTCTCTCATCTGACCTCATCCCAGGCTGTGCCCATTCGACTTTGTGCTCCTTTTCTCTGGGGGTTAGTCCCTCCAGGACCAGTTTTGTTAGGGGAGGGCAGATGAAGAGGTCTCTGATCTGCCTCTGGGGTTGTTACTCACAAGGTCTGTCTGGTTCTGGATGCAGCGTTGTGCTTGGTAAACCTCTTAGTTCTTCCTTCTGTGTTGGGGTGGGGAAGGCTGTTGTGGGGGGCTGTTGGAAAAGGGTGGGGATGTCTGTGCAGGGGCAGCTTGGCCCTTCGCTTGTGACGGATTTCCCAGCACGCCGTCTGCCGCTGCCTTTCCTTGGTGGCTGATGTGGGGCTGATGTGAGCCCCTCCCTGTGGTCACCGAACACTTGGCTGGCGACCGTGTGCTCTCTTGGCATTGACCCAGGACCTGAACATCAGCACTGCTCCTCTCCAAAGCCCCAGAGGAGTGAGAGCAGCTGGCCCCTCCCTCTCACTACCCCATCCCCTCCGCTCGCCCCTGTTCTGGTCTTCGCTCTTGCACTGGTTCGGGTGGGGCTGTTTGTAGGTTTTTTCTTTTTTTTTTCTTTTTTTTTGCTACAAAGAAAAGCAAACTGTTTTTTTCTTTTCTGAGCTAGTGTGTTGTATCTTGACATGTTCCCTTGCAATATCCCTATCGTTATATATTCCTCTGTGCCGTATGAATTGGCTGGGAATCTCCTCCTGCAACCCCTCCTCAAACAACCATGTGAATTTCCAAACCAACCAATGCGTGACGCTGGCTGCTGCGCTGGTTTGAAAATCTGATTGGCTGGTGAATGATGAATTCCCTGTCTGCCTGGGCCAGCAGCGGAGTCGACAGAGCAGCAGAAGGGCCAAGAGTGTGGAGGACGACGACGAGGGGCATCTGATCTATCGCGTCGGCGACTGGCTACAAGAAAGATGTACAGCCGAATCGTAACATAATTTAGCTCTCTAGTTAAGCTCCCATCGCAGTCGCAGATCTGTCTTATCTTTCTGTTCTGTTTTATTTTCATTGTTTTTAAAGAGAAACCCCCTTCCCTCCCTCCTCCCCTTTCGTTAAAGATATTAATTTTCTATTTTGCATTGTTACCAAAATAGCAGGGAACTAGGGCAGTTGCCTTGTGCAGCCGGTGTCAGCATTCTGCTGCACTGGTGTCTCAAGCTGTGTGCAGGCTAGGTGTTGCAATGCATTCTCCTCTGCCTCGTGTATGCGCTGCACCCAGGTCCTGCTCACTCCCTCATGTCGCCTTCTCTCTCTCTCTCCCTCTCAGATGAGATTATTAGCACCTTAGGGGAAGGCACGTTTGGCAGAGTGGTGCAGTGTGTGGATCACCGGAGGTAAGCGTGCTGACTGGGCTCATGCGGTGGGCGGGCAACCAGCTGAATGTGTGTGTAAAGGCTGGAGCTTTTGCGGGGAGATGAGCCCTCTCCCTCCTGGATTCCAGTTCAAATCCAGTGTGGATCAGTAGGCACCCAGTGCTGATCCCATATGGTGTGGGATATGATGGTGGGTCTTGTGATTGTTTGTAGTGGAATAAACCCACCATCTCAGCCTGCACTGTCCAGCCAACCAAAATCTCTGCTGGACCTGGCTAGTCCATGACACCCCTTCCCCAGGGCGTGGGCTCAGCTCCACAGTGACCTTGCTTTTTTTCCTGCCTCTCCCCAGAGGGGGCGCACGCGTCGCCCTAAAAATCATAAAAAACGTGGAGAAATATAAAGAGGCTGCTCGGCTGGAGATTAACGTGCTGGAGAAAATCAATGAGAAGGATCCAGAGAATAAGAAGTGAGTGTCTTGCTGCGGTGGGGCCAGGGAGGCAGTGTCATCCTAGCCCCTATGCCCTCCAGCTGCTAGGGGGCAGCCCGTGGCAGGGTGTGGGGAGGCAGTGCCATCCCAGCCTGCCACACTGGGGTCCTGAGTCCATTGTTCAAAGTATTGTAGGGTTGGGGTCAGCCTTGGCTGCGCTGTGCCCCGTCGGGGGGTGGGGAATGGCCGGGGAGGACTAGGACCGTCTCTAACAGAAGTGTCTCCTCTCAGCCTGTGTGTGCAGATGTTTGACTGGTTCGATTACCATGGCCACATGTGCATCTCCTTTGAGCTGCTGGGGCTCAGCACCTTTGACTTTCTGAAGGACAACAACTACTTGCCCTACCCCATCCACCAAGTGCGGCATATGGCCTACCAGGTGTGCCAGGCTGTGAAATGTGAGTGGCAGCCGCTCCCCTCCCTGACAGGATGGGGCGGGAGGATCTTTGGGCCCCACCTGTGCCAGCTCTGCATCTGATAGGCCTAGGGCACCCCATCACTAGAAGGGGCTCCCTTCTGCAGATTCCAAGGCCAAGACCTCCCTGCCCACCAGGAGAAGGAAAATGGTGCATTGGGGTGAACCCACCCTCCTTCACCCGTCTCTGCAAGAGCAGTAATCATGTGGGATGGGGACAGAGAGGTGCCACAGATCTGGGTACCCTCTCTTCCTGTGTCCCACAGCTCTGTGTGTAGAGCCCATCAGCTCCAGTTCCCCGCACCCTGGGCTGGAGCAGTGTCTGACAATGTAAACCACATTCACTGACCACTACAAACTGGTGTTGGTGTCAGCTGGGTTTAATGGAATCTGACTCTGATCATGTTTTCCTCCCCAGTTCTGCATGACAATAAACTCACTCACACGGACCTCAAACCCGAGAACATCCTCTTTGTGAACTCGGATTATGAACTCACCTATAATCTGGAAAAGGTAAAGGGGCTGCCCTCACCTTAAGTGCCTCCTGTGAGGTGTTCTGGCCTCCTCTGGCCCTACAATCAGATAGGAAGGGGTGGGAGCACTAGTGAATTGTGCTGTAGGGAACGATTCTGCAGTGTCATTCTCCTGCCCCTGGGAGGTGGTTGGGATGGGACTGATAGGGTTCCTGTGTCTATTCAGGGCCCCGTCATCACATGAGTTGCCTGCATCTTCTGTAAACAGACAGCCGTGGCCCCAGGCTGCTCCGAGAGCTGGTGAGAGCAGCCTTGGCACTTGTGGGTGGGCAGGAGTGGAAGGACAAGTGCCAGGCCTAATGATGCTCCTCCAAAGCGATCCATTTCTGCGGTACCCTGCTGTGCAAGGGGCTGAGGCTGCCTGGTGAAACTCCTGTGTAACTGGTCCCTTCTCTCTCCCTCTCTCCAAGAAGCGAGATGAGCGGAGCGTGAAGAGCACGGCCATCAGAGTCGTTGATTTTGGCAGTGCAACGTTTGATCATGAGCATCACAGCACCATTGTCTCCACCAGGCACTACCGAGCCCCAGAGGTCCTACTGGGTATGTACCGCTGGCTCTGCGTGCTGGGCTGCAGGACGCTGGCCCCTAAGTTCCCAGGGATCACAATGAGTAGGCACCATGGGCTCTGCTCGCTGAGCTATGGGCTATTTGCCTCCCTGCCATGCCATGTTTCTGCAAGTGCCAGTAGATGCACAGATCAGAGCACTGGCTTCAGTACAGGCTGTGAGCACGCTGAGTGTCAGTTGAGGCAAAAGTTTCCTTTGGTAGCAGCTTATAGAAAAGGAGGTTTGCAGATCATGCTCTTTCCCTCTGGTAATAACTCCTCTGCTTCTTAGAACTCGGCTGGACCCAGCCCTGTGACGTGTGGAGCATCGGCTGTATTGTCTTCGAGTATTATGTGGGCTTCACCCTGTTCCAGGTGAGACTCGTGTCCTTGCTCCACAACCACATCAGCTTCAAGCTGATGGAGTCAAATCCTGGCACTCTCCCACTATTGTTTTGGGACATCCACGCCTGGGAGTGGGTTCTCCCTATCATTGGTGTCCTCTGGTGCTGCAGTCAGCGGTGTGCTGGGCATTGGCTGGCAGCCAGGAACCACACTCATTCTGTGGCTGCAGTAAGAGGCTGAGACATCCTAGCACCAGTGAGCTGGAGAATCTCCAGAGCTGTGCAGGAGTCCGAGTCTGCTTCATGCCATCCCTTTATGAGCTGGGCCAATCTGTGTCTCTTCCAGACTCATGACAACCGGGAGCATCTGGCCATGATGGAGAGGATCCTGGGTCCGATTCCTTCCCGGATGATCCGAAAGACCAGGTGAGAGAGGCTGGCGGAATGCTGCAGGACCTGCCATTTGCTCTCCTTGCCTCATTTCCCAGTGGTAGTTCCTGCTGATGTGGGGCTCAGGCTCAGGGGTTCCTTACTGAATCGGCTCTCTGTTTACAGTGCTGTTCTGGAGTAGAGCGGCCGAGCATGCCTGTGACCCCCGCCCCGTATTGTCTGGGTGACTGAGTCTCTATGGAGGCAGGGGGTCTCCACTCCAGCTCCTTGCTGTTATGGCCCCATTGCTCAGTCCCTTCTGCTGTAACTTACTGTGTCACCTCTTACTCTGGCAGGAAGCAGAAATATTTCTACCATGGTCGCCTGGATTGGGACGAGAACACCTCTGCAGGCCGCTATGTCCGGGAGAACTGCAAACCACTGCGGGTAAGGCTCCCAGCTGGGGCACCCCTCCCTTCCCATGGGAACTCTTAATGCCTGCCCCAGCTCCTGAGAATTTGGACTCTGTGTAGCCAGCAGGGCTGTTAACGTGGCCTGCTGGGAGCCACTGAAAGGCTCTGTCTACATGGCTGAGTTAGAGATTAAGACTGGAAATGGAAAAGGCAGTGATGGGAGCTTAGCCAGAAGACTGGGCAGGGGGGTTGGGGGCTGAGAAGCCCTGGGGGAGGCGCCCGCAAAGGAGAAATGAGAACTGGACAACACGTGCTCATTAGAATGCTCCACAACTTTGGGGCCTTCTAGGTCCCAAGCCCTAACTGGGCTCTTTGCCCCGGAAGCGTGTTGGGAGCTCCCAGTTGTGCTGCAGTGAGGGTGGCGGGCCATGCTGTGTCTTTCTCCCTGACTTCTCCCCCTCATCTTCCCAGAGATACCTGACCTCTGAGTCTGAGGACCACCACCATCTCTTCGACCTCATCGAGAGCATGCTGGAGTATGAGCCGTCAAAGCGCATCACTCTGGCCGAGGCACTCAAACACCCATTCTTCGACATGCTGAAAACAGAGCCAAGCACAAAAGTGTGGGACTCTAGCCGAGACATCAGCCGGTGACACTGCTGGTGCCCAGTCTGTCCTCGGATTCTAGCCCCCGTGGAGGCCTATGTGATTTCTATTTGGACACTTGGTGCTTTTTTTTATACAAAAAAAAACCCCAAACAAAACCCCCTGAATCTTTTTGTTACTATGTAAAACTGTTAATATGTGAGATATTGTAAATATCCGAATCTATATCTGCCTTTGAGCTCCATGGACCCAAGCCCCTGCTGCTGCCATTACTCCTAGGGGAGGGGGCCTCTTACGTCCATGCTGTGAATACCTCGGTTCATGTGTTGCTTTGACTCTGTTCTCTCCTCCTGCCCTCCCCAGGGCTCCCGGCTGTCTGTAGCTCATCCATATCTTTGTAAGTTATGAAGCTGGTGGGGTTGCATGGGAATTATTTTTTGGATCAATGTCATAGCCCATCCCCACACCAGAGTTTTATATGAATTTTGTACAGTCTTTGTGAAAATAAATATGAAGTCAATTAAACTTCCTGGCCTTCCTCCCAGTCTGCGTCCAGACTAGTGGGGGCCCATCTTGGCAGCAGTGCCCTGGAATTGAGGCGCTGCTTCCCCTTCCCAGAAGATGGGGTATGTGGTGCATGTGACATTAGCCTAAATAAGAACTTTAACCCCCAGATCGTTGCTAATTCCCTGGAAATGGAGGTTCAGCTTCTGTCTTGTATTGGGTAGTAAATGTTCTGTTGGTGGTTCTTTTGGGCCCTGATGTTGTGCATCTGCTGCACTCTGCTTCTGCAGAGGATGGAAGGGAGTCGTTTGTCCCAGCAAGAAGATACTTGAGGGGACAGGATCCCTGTATTGGTTTCTGCTCTGCTCGACCCACCTCCAGCTGTAAAACTCATTCCAATCTTGAATGCTTGACTGGTGCCCAAAAACACACCTGCCAAGGGTTGCTCTAGGTGTGAGGGTTGCAGCTGGATCTGAGCTATAAGCCCTGATGCCTCAATCCTGTTCCAGAGGTACTGCAGTGTGACTCTGATTCAATTAGAGGATGGAGACCGGGCTGGGGACAGGGACAGCTCTGCAGTTTTGCAGCCAGAACTCCTTCCTGAGGGTGAGCCATTCCAAGCAGGGGGCCATCTCCTGTCCGCATTCCTCTGATGGACTTCCTATGCATTGTCCTTTGCTCTTGTGCCTTCTCTAGCTGCCATGTGCTACCTAGTAGCCTTGGCACCTCTGCAGAGGTCACTTCAGCAGGGCTCCTGGTCTAGCCTGGCTTGTTGGCTGCAAGAGGATTGGAGAGGTCAGTTGCTGTTCCAGGGGACAGCAGAGCTCCTCTTTGGAAAAAACTCATCATTTCAGGATTAGTGTTGTGGTTGAAAGGTGCTAAATATGAAATGCAGCCAGCTCTGGTGTGGGTTTGGCAGCCAGTTCCTTCTAAGACAAAAAAACAAAGCGGACTTTAAGCCCAGATTGCTGTGACAAATCCAGATTTTTAAAGTGTCCCAGGCTCATTAATGTCTGCACCGAGTGAGCCTGAGTGTTTGAGGTCTTGCCAGAGCGTGTCACTCACCCACAGGATGTATTGGTACTGACTGTATTAGTGATGGCTGTCAGGAAAACTGTCTAGGTGCACTGTAGCTATCCCTTTGCAGGCGGCCATCCCAACAAGAGCTTTCCTTACCCAAACTCACAGCGTAGCCACCTGTTCTGCTGCTGAGCTATTCTCTCTGTTCCTCTCTGCTCTTTTACCAGCTGCACAGCAGGAGTTGTCGTCTGAACTGGGCTATCTCCCACTGGAGCCTGCGGGGAAGTCACAAACATAGTGGAATCTTCATGTTAGTTCTTGGTTAAATGCTTGGCAGGGAGTCTCATGGGGGCTTGGGGGGGAGAGACAGAACAGATGCATGAGGAGTCCTCACGTAGGGTGCTTTGCTAATGCACCATCTGGCTATGACAGACTGTGCCCTAGCCTAGCAGCCTGTCATCACTCAGAAGGGTAAAGGAAAAGCTCAGCTTCACCTGGAGTTAGTGAGAGTTGAGACTTGGGTGAGGGATGGGGTGACATTGAGTCATCTTCGTGTCCTGATTCCAATTTAAGGAGCTTGGGCTGGGAGCATTAATCTGCCTCCAACAGTGCTGCTCAACCAGCAGCTTATCACATTGCAGTGACACAGTGAGCATCCAGAATTGAGCACAGGAAAGCCTGACACCACGGTGCTGGCCGTCAGTGTCCAGCTGAGGGCAAGCAGGAGCTGGATCTGAGTGAGTAACCTGTCCCCTGTACCCAGCTTAGGTCCGGGAGAGAATCCCCATTTCCAGCCTGACCACCTGCCCTCAGCCTCCTGGGTAGCAACACCGCTAACTCCCTTTGCAGCTTGAGAGAGACCAGAGTTCTGCCCTGGACATTATGCACTGAGCTACCGAGCCCTGTGCTATCAGACTGGCAACCTGGAGATTGGGTGGGGAGTGGCTGCATTTGGGCCACGCATTCCTTACAGCTCCTCTCTCTTGCTCTCCAAGAGGATGGATAATAATCTGTAGCCATGAGGCAGGTGCAACTGCTGCCCAGGTACTGAATTCCTGGGCCTGTGTCTGGCTCTGCATGCATGCCCTTTGTGCCCCATACCGCTGGCTCCCAGGATGCTGAGCAATCCCCTTGGCATATCAGGGCAGTCTAGTCACTCCACTTGCTGCTGTGTGTCTCCAGATGATGTCTGAATGGGAAATGTTAGTGGGTCCCTTGTGTCCTGTATCCTGACTTGAGCTGGCCAGGAGGTTCAAAGCCACTGGAATTTGCCTGTCTGTCTGTCTCTGTCATGCCAGGGATTCCTCCCAGGCCAGCTTGGGACTGGGACATCCCTACAAATAGCACCTCCCCATGCCCTACATGGATTCATAGATTCCCCAAGGCCAGAAGGAACCAATGTGATCATCTAGTCTAACCTGTATAACACAGGCTGGAGAAATGCCCTCTAATTCCTAGAGCAGATATTTAAAAAAAACCATGCAATCTTGATTTAAAAATTCAGTGATGGAGAATCTATCGTAACTCTTGGTAAATTGTTCCAATGGTTAATTACCCTCACTGTCAAACATTTACGCCTCATTTCCAGTCTGAATTTGTCTAGCTTCTACTTCCAGCCATTGGATCGTGTTAGACCTTTCTCAGCAAGACTGAAGAACCCATTATCAAATATTTGTTCCCCCTGTAGATACAGACTGTAATCAAGTTGCCCCTTAACTTTCTCTTTTTTAGGCTCAATAGAATGAGCTCTTTAAGTCTATCACTGTCATGTTTTCTAATCCTTATTCTTATGGTTCTTCTCTGAGCCCTCTCCTATTTATCAACATCCTTCTTGAATCGTGGGCACCAGAACTGGACACAGTATTCCATCAGCAGTTGCACCAGTGCCAAAGAGAGGTAAAATAACCTCTCTATTCCTACTCGAGAGGCCTCTGTTTATGTATCCCAGGCTTGCATTAGGTCTTTTGGCCATGGTGTCACATTAGGCTTTCAACTTCAACTAATTATCCCCCAGAACCTCCATGTTTTTTCAGAGTCACTGCTTAGAGTTCTCCATCCTGTAAGTATAGCCTAAGTTTTTTACTAGACGTATACATTTACATTTAGCCGTATTAAAACGCATATTGTTTGCACCCAGTTTACCAAGCAATCCAGATGGCTCTGAATCAGTGTCCTGTCCTCTTCATTATTTACCATGCCCCCAATTTTTGTGTCATGTGAAAACTCTGATGATTTTGTGTTTTCTTTCATGTCATTGATAAAAATGTTAAATGGTATAGGGCCAAGAACGAATCCCTGCAGGACCTCACTGTAAACTCATTCGCTTGATGATGATTCCTCGTTTACAATTACATTTTGAGACCTATCAGGTTTTTTAAGCCATTTAATGTGTGCCATGTAAATTTTATATCATTCTAGTTCAGGGGTCAGCAACCTTTCAGAAGTGGTGTGCCGAGTCTTCATTTATTCACTCTAATTTAAGGTTTCGCGTGCCAGTAATACATTTTAACGGTTTTAGAATCTCTCTTTCTATAAGTCTATAATATATAATTAAACTATTGTTGTATGTAAAGTAAATAAGATTTTAAAAATGTTTAAGAAGCTTCATTTAAAATTAAAATGCAGACCCTGCTGGACTGGTGGCCAGGACCCGGGCAGTGTGAGTGCCACTGAATATCAGCTCGTGTGCCGCCTTACCCAGTAAGAACTTACCCAGTACTCCAAGACTTATTGAAAATCAGCATTAATGGTCTAGTGAGCTCCTCAGCCAGCTCTTTTAAAACTCTTGGATGCAAGTTATCTGGGGCTGCTGATTTAAAAGTATCTAACTCTAGAAGCTTCTGCTTAAAATCCTCCAGACATACTATTGCAATGGAAAGTATGTTATCACCATATGATGAGACTATCATCTGGTTTTCCGCCAAACGCAGAACAGAAATATTTATTGAACACTTCTGCCTTTTCTGCATTATTATTAATACTTCCATTTCAGTCTAATAATGGATCAATACCATTGTCAGGATTCATTTTGTTCCTTATATAGTTTGTTAAAAATCCTTATTATCCTTAACTCTGCTGGCCATACATTTCTCCTTGTGTCCCTTTGTTTCCCTTATCCATTTTCTACAATACCATACTTCTAATTTATATTCATTACTATCAATTCTGCCTTTCTTCCATTTGTTTTATATATACACACATATTTATACCTGCCTTCACTTTCCCTGTAAACTAGGCTGTTTTTTTACCCAGCACTGCCTTCTTCCTCAATTGTTGGATTGTGGCTTTTTGGGCATCTATTACATGTTGTTCTTAAATGATTCCCAATTATCATTCACATTTTCTGACTAAATTCTCTCTTCCAGCTGACTTGGCTCGAAATTGTTTTCAGCTTTGTGAAATCTGCCCTTTTAAAGCACAAAGCATATATATTACAGGTGAGGACTTTATTCTGCTTGCACAGTATAAATGTGACCAAGTCATGATCACTTGTACCTAAGCTACCGTTAATTAATTAGTTCCTCTATTTGTTAGGACAAGGTCTAATAAAGAATTCCTCCATGTTGACTGCAACACTTTTTGAGATAGGAAATTATTGATAATATTTAGAAATTTCAAGCTTGTTTTAATACTGCCAGCATGAGATCTCCAGCATCTTTCACTCAAATTGAAGACCCCCATGATCAGTTTTTTTTTTTTTCCCCCTACACATCCTAGGTAGGTGCATAAGGAGATGGCCATCCTGTTCTCCGGAATTTGGTGATCTGTAGCTAATACCCAATTTTGTGCTTTATCTGTTAGGACACTGAGCCATAAACATTCAAGATAATTTTCTTCTGAGTTATCAGTGAATCAGAAACAGGCAGTGCGGTTTTTGGCATAGAGTGCCATTCTCTCTCTCCTTTTGCCCACTTGATCCTTGCTAAATAGGTTACAACCATTTATTTTAACATTCCAGTCGTGCAAATGCAAATCATAAATGACCATTTCCAATTATTTAATTTGTTACCCAGGCTTCTAGCATTGATGTATACATCCACCTCTCCCCAGAAAAGGTGGACCAATGTTCGACAAAACTAAAATCCTCCACTCCATGCTACTTACCTAGCCTGCAATTCACTTCCAGAATCTTCTGCTTTCTGTTTTCCTTTGCTCGTGAGATAGGAACAATCTCAGAGAAAACTGCTTGGATGTTCTTCTTCCTTTTCAGCACGGATAGCCTGTTCCGCTATCTGAGGTCTGTCTCTGCACCTTGCACAGCACTGACTGCTGCTGTCCTTACTGCCTCTGCTCACCTCTCCTCTCCAACTCGCACCTATGGAATCTGTGGTGAAGTCTGCTTTCAGGGCCCCAGTGAAACAGCTGCAGTGCTGCATCTCTGCTGTCTTTCCCGAGGACAAGGACTGCCAAGCATTAGGAGGCTGCATAAAGGGTCCAGCAGAACAGAACCAGAGGACCCAGGGCAAGAAGTAAGAGCAACTGGCCACCTCACCATGCCCGGCTCAATGAGATGTTCTAGGCCCTGCTTGGATCTGATGGGGTCCCCCCACATGAGGGAACCCCTTTAATGACAGGCCTGTCTGTATAGTCATCTTCTGTGCGCGATGTTCCTGGGTGAGCACAGAGCATGGCCCAGACCCACAGAGGGCTGCGTAGGATGGTCAGTCCATGAGAGAGTGCAGCTCTCTGCCTCCAAGTTCCTCCACCCCAGTGAAACCCATTATACCCACCACCCTGTTCTGATTGGGAGAAGCAGCTTGCTGACACAGTTCTTTCCAACTCAGGAGCAAACGGGACTTGGTCTATGCTCAGAGAAAGGCTGAGCGTGCAGCCATCAGAACCCACATCAGAGAGAAGTACCAGCTTCCCAAGGTAAGGGGGAGCCAACTCAACAGGCCTGGGGAAGAGGAGACTTAGCTCCTCAGGGAAGCTTAGGGTTAGTCTGATAACTTTGCCTATTGGGTTGCATCTATTGGTCAGGCCCTAGCCCCATATGCTGCTGGGCAGATCCTGCTCCCAGCTCTGGGGCTGTTCACTTGCCCATGGGCTGCAGATAATTGCAAAATGCCCTATTTAATTTAGGAAGAGGAAAAACCTGTTTATATGGTAAGGCTGTGACGCTTCCTTAGGATCAAGTGACCTGTGATCCTGGATGGACAGTTGTGTTGGGGCAGGGCTCAGCTCATGGTAGCAACTGGGTGGCTCCACGCATGACTCCTCACACTAACATCTTTCTCCTTTACATTTCCTCTTCAGAACAAGGTGGATAAGAAGCAGCTGGAGGTCATTGGGGGGAAGGTGAAAATGCTGCAGGACCACGTGGCTGTGGTGAGGCCTCAGGGCACCCCTGAATCTGACTCCTGCATCTCTGGCCTCAGTGCTATGGATCTCAGCTCCCTGAAAAAAACAACAGAGAGCACAATGCAGTCCCTGCGGCTGGGGCTGCGCCGTCTTATCATGTGAACAAACCAGCAGCAGGGGCACGGTAGCCCAGTTTCTCTACTCAGTCCAGACTCTGCTGTGCTCCCTGCCTTGTGTCTGTAAGAATTGCTGTTCTCGCCCTCTTGGGGTAACTATAGGTTAGTGGAGTTCAGTTGGGAGTTGGGCTGCTCCTCTGATGCAACATCTGCTTCTGTTCCATGAACCATCTCTCCCTGGGGGTGTGGGAATCCATCCTCCAGTTTAACCACAGTATCTTTTTGGAATGAGAAGTGTGGAAGTGGGATCACCCTGGAAGTTGCAGGGTGACCTTTACTCTCTTATGCCTCACCTCGCTGACCACACCATCTCCTGGTAAAGCCCTGAACTTCTCACTGCTTTGGCTTCCCTGAAAGGATTCACGAGCTTGTGCCAAGCATGGTGAATTATAAGATACAGCACTTTGTGTTTGGACACACTTGTGAGCAGGGATTCAGGTCACTTGCATCAGGGCCTGAACATTTTGTAGCCCCTTTGTAATTGTGTAAGATTTTAGAGACTGCAGGCCTGGGGGTTGTGGTGGCTTTCACGATGGAAGGCAAATCACTAAGTCACAGTGATGAATGAAGCAGAGTTCAATGCCCTGGTATGCTCACATAGAATGGCTTGTGGGAACCACCCATCCTGTGACAGCCAGGAAAGGGCTAAAGGCCTAGGACCAGTCCTGCCCTCAGTCTGTCAGCCACTGAGAGTTTATTCTGATGTCATGTTCCTTGCTCTCCCGCTGGTGTAAATGTCTCTGGACCAGGATTTGCCGCTCGTGCTCTCTGAATTAAACACAACTGCATCCTCTTTGCAAATCCAGCGTCGATTTCCTGGCTCCCGAGTCTTGGAGCTGTTACTCAGCCTAGGGCAGCAAGGGGCCCAGCAGCCCCGGCCCAGGCGGGACCCAGCCCTTCACAGGCCCCCTCCCGTAACGGTGGGTCTGAGCTGGCCAGGCGCGGCCTGGGCCTGGGCCTGCAGCTGCCCCCGCCCTGCTCAGCGCTAGGGTGGGGGGCAGGCAGGCCTCGCTCACTGAAGGGGAAGGAAGACAAAATGGCACCTGCTGCCTGACCTCCCCCTCTGTTGGGTGTGTCACTCTGGAAACTACAGCTCCCAGCATGCATTGCGGACAAGGCGGCGCCCATAGGTCCCAGCAGGCACAAGGACCCAGAGACTACGGCGCCCCGGAGACATTCCCGTCAGGCAGTGCGAGCTCAAGGGCTGGAGAGACTCCCCATCCCAGCATGCAGCGCGGCGCTCGGACGCTCTAGCCCTACGCATGCGCACACGCAGCCGCCGCGCGTGATTCTGCCTCACCGCCCTCCGGTGCGGGGTTCCCGCCCCGCAACGTGAGCCGCGCTGATGACGTACGTGGCGCGGTGGCCAATAAGCGTCGGTCAGGCAGGGGAGCGGACGCAGCGGAGTCCGTCGCTGAGGCTGGGGGCGCGCGGCCGGAGCCCGGCATGGCCCAGCACGGGGCGAACCCCTTCGGGGAGCCCGACAACCCCTTCCAGGTGCGCGGCGCGGGGCGGGGCGGCGCGGGGCGGGGACCCCCAGGGCTGGCCCTGGTCTGGAGCGGGGGCCGCCAGCTGGGGCGCGGCCCCTCTGGCAGCGCTTCCTGTCCCAATCTACGTCATCGGGCAGCTGTGTCCGCCCTGGGCCGGGCGCGCCCTGCTCCGCAAACCGGCCTGGGGAGGGGGCTGCCCCCCTGCGGCGCCCCTGGCTGCCCCCCTGCGGCGCCCCTGGCTGCCCCCCCCGCGGCCGGGCCTGGTGCTCCCTGTTGGCTGGGGCAGTTCTGTCTGTGTCCCGCTTCCGGAGCTCCCCTTGGATTGAGTAAACTCGAGCGGTGCTGGCTGCCAGGGGCCGGGGAGTGCCCTCCGCACAGGGAGCGGCGTGGTCCGGGGGGCGACGTTGTCCTGAGTATTGGGGGTGGGATGGCATCTGTGGGAGCTGGTTGGGTTGCCGCAGGGCCTGGGGGCTAGCAGGTGAATGGGCGCACTGGTTGGTCACAGGGACTGCAAATTCATGCTCTGTTCCAGGATCCTGCTGTGATGCAGCACAAGCCCAGCGCGGAGTATGCGACGCTGGATGTGTACAACCCCTTCGATAACAGGGGGGTAAGGATAACTGGGCTCTGAGGGCAGTGCATTGGGGCGGAGCCTGCACTGGCCACAGGGTTCCAGTCCTCTGCATTGGTCGGGCTGTCCGAGGAAATGCTCACTTTCTCCTGGGTTACATCCCAGACACCAGTCTGTGGCCTGTCCCTCTCAGCCGGGGCTTGTTTGGCAACTGGCCAGCTCACGTGGGTTTCTTGGGGACAGGGGGCTCCCTGGGCTCTTGTTTTGGTAGGAGGATAGTGTTGGGTTTCTCACACTTACTGTGAGCTGTCTTCCTGTCCCCTACAGCCTCTCATGCTGGGCTGGCTCGCTACATGTGCATGGAGAGGCATCTTGTGTGTGGGTTAACAGCTGATAGAGGGATGGCAGACCCGGTGCCAGCTCATGCCAAGGCCCCTAGCTCTCAAGTGAACACTGACATGCACAGCTGGAAACCAGTCTGGCTTGCCTGTGTGTTAGCTTTGTTAAAATCTTAAATTTACAAGAATGTTTCGTGTTTAGACTTTGTCATACTTGTAAGTTGCTGCATGTATTAATCTCACTTAAAACATCTGTACCCCATGTTATGAGGTGGTATTAAGTATTTGCATTCTCATCCTCTGTAATTGTGTAAGTCAACGAACAGGAAAGGAGCATTAATGAATGTAAAATGGTGGCTTCCTACAGAAGGTGTTAGGTCCTTTCCCTCCAAGAAGGCCCACTGAAACTTAAAAGAACAAATACTTTAATTGCATTCCACACATGAAGAGGAGACTTGCATGGGAACTCATCCCATCACCTTGAACTCTTGGGGGAAGCACATAAAAATCCCTAACAAGAAACTCTCTCACTATGCGGCTTGGACTTTGAGAGGGCAAGGAATCCCCAGCTACTTAGCCTGGGTTGACCCTAAAAAACACACTGCATATTACAGAAGCTTCTACCACCTCTTGGAACCTAAGACCCTAACTCATTTGTGTGTGTGTTTACCTGCTTTAACCTGTAAATAACTCTCATTTCTATTTTTAACTAATAAATCTTTAGTTAATTATAGGACTGGCTACAAGTGTCTTTAGCGTGAGATCTGAAGTACAATTGAGCTGGGATAAGTGACTGGTCCTTCGGGGCTGGGAGTAACCAGAATATTGTTGTGATTTTTGGTGTAAGGGACCATCAGTCAAAGGCAGGCTTGCCTAGGTGGCAAGATAGAGGGAGCAGAGTGCCCAAAGGGACTGTCTGTGACTCCAGGGTCAGGCTGTTACAGTGCCTGAGGAGTTGACACTTGGCTGGTGAAATCTAAGTGTAGAACTGACACCCAGTTTGGGGTTTGTGCCCTGCTTCTTAACTATCTGCCATGAGGTTGGTGCTCACGCGCCACTCCAGGAAGCCTGACACCAACTCTGGGCATTTGAATGTCAGCAGCTCCCATCCTATACACTCCGGGCCTGTACCGTCTCTTCCCCTGCTCCCTGCCTGTTGTCTCCTAGATATAAGCAGAAGACTGTGAGCAGTCTCCATGTCTAATTATTCTTTTATGTCTCCAATAGCCACCCCCTCCCTACCAGCCCCAGCCAGGGGCTCAGCCGACTCCACCAGTCACCAAAGTGCCCCAGCCGCCGGCCTCTGCCATGCAGCCCCCCAAGAAGCCAAGCCCCCCAGAGTCCAAAAACTACGGCTCCTATGGAACTCAGGTGATTGGTGCAGGGCAGGGAAGCCAGCATGCTGGCAATAGGGTTGGTTGACTCCCGTGCTCTCAGTTGGGGCTGGTGGAATTGAGTCAGCTGGTTTCTGGGGCCTGTGAGCTGAGTTGTCCCCTCTTCTCTCTCTGTTAGGAGTCGACAGCAGCAGCCGCCGCAGCTGAGCTGCTGAAGCGGCAGGAGGAGCTGAACCGGAAGGCGGAGGAGCTGGACAGGCGGGAGCGGGAGCTGCAGAACGCAGCTTTGGGCAATGCTGCAAGTAAGTGCTAGAGCCACTCCCAGGATGGGGTAAGGTCAGCAGCCCAGACTCCCTGGTCCAGTGCAGCTGGGAAATGACCCCCGCCCGGGCAAGGGGAACGTAGCCTTCCCCTCCCTCTGGGAGCTGCTGCGTGGTCCTACTCTGGCCTCATGCTTTCTGCTTTGCTTGACAGTCAGACAAAACAACTGGCCTCCGCTGCCCTCCTTCTGCCCCATGAAGCCCTGCTTCTACCAGGACATCCCTGTGGAGATCCCCACGGAGTTCCAGAAAACAGTCTCCTCCATGTACTACCTCTGGATGGGTGAGCATCTGGATAAGGGCACCAGGGTGCAGATCCCCAAGTATGCAGGGGGCAGAGGAGGGGGTTTTGAGGGGGGTGAATATCCCTGTACGTTGCTGGGGGAGGCACAGACTTTGGAATGTTCAGTGGGACAGGGCCTGGGACTGAATACCCTGCATATGGGAGAGGTGCACTCCCACACCCCCTCAAGAGCAGCAGGATTCCTGACTCCCAGTGCTGGGACCAAAGGGGGTGGATCTTGCTGTTGTGGGCGTGGGTGACACATGGAGGGTTAGGGCTCTGCTGCCCCAGGGGTTTCCTAACCTGCTGTTTCTCTTAGCCAGCACCGTGACTCTCTTCCTGAACTTCTTGGCCTCCCTGGCCTGGTTCTGCGTGGATCCCACAGCTGGTTCGGGCTTTGGCCTCTCTATCCTCTGGGTTCTCCTCTTCACACCCTGCTCCTTCCTGTGTTGGTACAGGCCAATGTACAAAGCCTTCCGGTGCGTCCCTGCTGGGAGTTCTGGGGCTGGCAAATCAATAGAGCCTCTGATTCTTGGGCAGCTCCATTTGTTTACCAGGGTACCACAGATGTCCTGTAGCTGCAGTGGGTCTGCCTGGCTGTCAGCATTGGTGACACCTCAGATCTTCCGTGGCTTCTGGGCTGTAGACCCTGCAGCTAAACTCCTATGGGAGAAAGGGATAATGATCTGAGTGTACCAGATCTCCATGCTCCCCTAGTAGCACTGTTCCCTGCCCTGGAGGGGGTGACTCGAGTGGCACTGTATCGTGGCTGCCTTGGGGAATTAGGGAGGAGCTTCCCCCCCCCCCGCCCCCGAAAGTCAAGTGCCCAAGTTGTGGGTGACTGAATTGTGTGCTTCCTGGGGGGTAAAGCAACAGGCCTGGCTGTGCCTCCTGGGCCTGGCTGTTGCTTCTCAGGCCTGGCCCTGCTGGAGGAGGGAGGGGAGGGAGATTCTCCCTTGGTAGCGGGGATGCTCTAACCCAGCGCCTCTCTCTCTCTCCCCCTCTCAGGAGCGACAGCTCGTTCAACTTCTTTCTGTTCTTTTTCATCTTCTTCGTCCAGGACATTCTGTATGTGCTGCAGGCCATCGGCATCCCAGGCTCGGGATTCAGGTAGGGGCCGGGGCCGGGCCCTTGGGGCTGCCCGGTGCTAGGCTCAGGGGAGCTGGCTCTCCTTTCTCTGGCCTGGCCCTGTGTGGCTTATGCAGAGGCCCAGCTGTGCCGGCTGGTCCATCCCAGCAGGAGTAGGTGTTGGGCAAGGTTGCTGGGTGCTCCTGTCGTGATGGGGAGGGGGCTGGGAGTCTGTGCGTGTGGGCAGCCCTCTCTCTCTCATTGCAGTGGCTGGATAGCAAGTCTAACGGTGCTGAGGAAAAACCAGGCTGCTGCTGTGATCATGATCCTGGTGGCCGTGTTCTTCACGGTGGTGGCCGTGCTGGGGATCATCATGCTGAAGAGGGTGAGTATCGAGTGGGGCCTCGGCCAGTGCTTTCCTGTCCCTGCGGTGCAGAGAGCTGGCTTCGAGCACATGCTGGAGCCCTCTGCGTTCTGCTGGGCTCTGCAGGGCCCGGCTGAGCCTGCCCTGGTTCTGGGGTATCGCACTCTAGGGTGCCCCCTCTCCTCCGCTGTGTGGCCTGCTCAGAGTCCATAGTAGTGCTGGGGTCCCAGTTTGGGTGCTGGGCCCAAGTACAGCGCCCCTTGACCCTGGGCTTCTCTTCTAGATCCACTCCTTGTACCGCCGGACGGGTGCCAGCTTCCAGAAGGCACAGGAGGAGTTTGCCGCAGGCGTCTTCTCAAACCAGGCGGTGCGCACGGCAGCAGCCAATGCCGCGACAGGGGCAGCGGGCAGTGCCTTCCGGGCGCAGTAGGGGCAGGCCACGCCCCTGACCCCATCACTCTCACATGGGCTATTTTTAAAGAGAAGGAAACCAAGTTGCACTTTCATTGGGTCCCTTTGTGTCTGCCTCGGCCAATCAGAGGCTGCCTCATCCCAGCTTGGAAGCACGGATGCCCAAATACTCTGCTGCTCTAACCACCTCCCTCACGGATGGGGGCTGCTCGTGTTTGTGCCACCCCTGTGGACAGAGGCTGTGGGGGAAGAGGGAGTTTCCCTTGCGCTCAGGAAGGGGCTCTTTCCCATTTCAGTTCCCTCTGTGTCCAACACCAGCTGCTTGGGTGGGGTGGGAATTGTGCATGTTGCATTTCCTGGCTCTTCCTGGCCACAGCTGCACTGTTGGCCTGAGATCCCCAGACCCCTCCCAACCCATGGAATTGCTTCCTGCTTCAGCCTGAGAGCCTGCTGCTCCTGTGCAGAGGGAGCTGACTTGTGACCTAACCTCAGCCTCCCCTCTGTCCATTCAGGGGGTAAGGCCATGAGGGTGGAGCTGGCTCTGGGCCAGGCATAGGTGGAGGTTTCTCACTGTACTGCCTTTGAAGTGGGACCTCATTATCTGTCAAGGATGCTCTTCCTCCCCTGGCTGCAGCTGCTGTGCCCTCCCCGTGGGGGTGGCTTGCTGGTTGGCTGTTGGCCCAGTGTGATAGTGAGGTGAGAATGGGGAGAAGCTTTGGGGCTGCCACCTAGCACATATCACGTGCAGTGAAGGGTAACTTTGGTCCCAAGGAAATAACCTGGGCCTATGTCCCCTGCCCTGCAGCTGCCCACTCAGTGCTGTGGCTACAGCCTTTGGCCAGCACTTCCCTTGGGGCCCTATGGTGAACTCCTTCCTTGCACGATTAACCAGCGAGAGGCCTGAGCTGCTGCTCTGGGTGTTGGGACTCCTTGTGCCTCTGAGCTGCCTGCCCAGTAGTACCAGGGGGCTGAGCCAAGCCAGGGATCTAGGTTTACTCTGACACTGGGGAAGTTGCAGAGCCGGCACCATAGCCCTGGCTTCCCTGTCCCCACTTGTGGGGGAGACACTATGGACCTTGCATACCCTGGCTGGGCTAATGTAGCAGCATTGTTCTTCGCATGATTCTTCAGTGCCCCGGGGCAGCAGCTGGAGGAGATCCTGCTCCTAGCTTTCCCCAGGGATCCCCACATCTCTGCTCCATAGGGCCCCGTGCCCTACTCTTCTGGCTCTGTGTTCTCTCCCAGCACCTGCGTAGTGCCTCCTCCCCCCCCCCCCCTCTATGTTGCAGGGGTCAGCTGGCTGGTAGCATTGGATCACAGGCTGCCCCGAGGAAGCCGAACAATGGAGAGGGAGGTGGGGGCAGAGCTGGGCTTGTGGCTGGGGCAGGCACAGCTCTCCATTCCCACCCTGGGAGCTGGGTTTTGTTGGCTTGAAACAGCTCTAATGTTCTGGCTGCTCCCTCGTGCCATCTCTCCAGGCTCCACTGCTAGCTAAAAGCCACTTAACTGCTGTAGTGGTGGTCACCCCCCTCCCATCCTGCCAGTGTGCTGGGGCAGCAAGCAAGGCTCTCCCTGGCTCCAAGGTGGAGGCATTGGCCCCTTTCCCTCAGGGGGAGGGGGTGAGTCCAGGACTGAAGGGTGGGGGCTGGGTGCAGAATAGGTTGCACTGTTGGTTTGAATTCTTGCCTTGGCTGGGGCTGGCCATTATGGCAGAAGCAATTAACTTAATCTGCAGCCGGGGAGACTTAGAGAAATATGGTTAGTGTCTAATCAAACTGGAAGGGTGGTTGAGGTTGGGGAATCCCTATCACTGGAGTTTTTTAAGAACAGGTTGAACAAACGCCTGTCAGGGGATCTAGGTTTACGTGACCCTGCCTCAGGGGAAGGGGGAGATGGATGGGACTTGCCCTCAAATGGTGCCTTCCAGCACTACATTTGTGATTCCCTGCAGTGCAGCAGCCTGGCCTCAGCACTCCCTGGGTTCCCTGGAGTTGTAACTCAGCCACTGGCAGCTGTAGGAAGGGCAGGGATATGTTTCCTTTTGCCTCCCTTCTGTCTCTGGAGTGGTGGGGCTGGGTGCCTAGGGACCTGTGCTGTCAGGGGGTGTACGAGGCTGAGGGTGACTGCTGGCATGAAGACTTTCCACACTACAGGTCACAATTCACCTGCCCCAGAGCTTTGGTGAATTTTTTTTTCATGTGCCAAATGCAAAGTCAGCTTTGATTTTATTTAAAATAATAAAGTTTAACTCCTTGTTCTCCAGGGCTGTGTGTTGGCTGCACGTCCATCGTCCTCTGCTGGGAGCAGGGCATCAGCTAGCTGGGGAGTCACCTGAGAGTATCCCCTGGGTAGAGGGTGGGGGAAGGGGGTGACTGGCGGTGAGGGGTGCTCTGGAAGCCCCATCCTGGACCCACTCTGGGAGGAGGGTGCACTGGGAAGGGGGACCCCATCTCCCTCTGCTGCACTCTTCCTTGTTACCCTGGCTGGGGGAGAGCACCTGCAGGCTCGGGGGCAGTGCATTGTCTGAACAGGCTTCCTGGCCGTTGTGTGCCCCTGCTGCCCCTAAGTGCTGGGTGTATTGCTCGGCGGGGTCGGAGCTGGGCTGCAGTTGTGGTAGGAAAGCATTTCCATTAGGCCGGGAGGCCCAGGGGAGCTGCTGGGGTTATGGCTGCAAGCGGGGGAGGGAGGGTTTAATGGCAAAAGCAGCAGATGTTCTTACAGCTCCTTCCTTTCCCTGTCGACCCAGCCCCCATCAGCCTGAAATTCACTCACCATCCCTAGCATCTGCCTCCCTCTCCCTGGGAGCCCAGCTGCAGCGGTTCTTCCACTTGTCGGGGCAGCTCCAGCTGTGGTGGGGGGAGGGGGCAAGCTGAGTCTCCCTGGGCTCAGCCTGGGTGGAGGAGAGGAGTGGGCACAGCTGGAGCGGGTCCCCCCCGCCCAGCCCGGGGGTAGGTGCTGGGCACAGCTGGTGCGGGTGTCCCCCTCCCAGCCCGGGGGTAGGTGCTGGGCACAGCTGGTGCGGGTGTCCCCCTCCCAGCCTGGCGGCGCTGTCATTGGCCAGGGCAGCCTGATGCTCACGTGGTCGCTCCCTAGCCTGATCTGGGCCCTAGCCGGGTCATGTGGCTCACATCTGGGCGCCGCTGGCGCTCCCGGCCCCGCCCTCCCCGAGACTACAACTCCCAAGGTGCAGCGCGAAGGGGCGTGTCCCCTCGCCCCGCCCCTCCCCGCAGCATCAGCACCAGGCTGAGCATCCCGGAGAGATGCAAGTCGGAGGCAGCGCCGGAGCTGCCCTGCGGCGGAGACTCCCCGACTCCTCCCTCGGCCGGCTCCTGCTGCAGCTCGGGGCGAGGCGCAGAAGCGGGTTCCGGCCCCCTCCGCTCCCCGCAGCCTTGCAACTTCCCTGGGGCCCGGCTGGGGCGAGCGGGAGCCCCGCGCCCCCTGCCCCAGCCCCGACTGGCGTCGCAGAGACCCGGACCCCAGCACTAGAGCCCTCGCCTCACTGCAGCTTCGGGGGCCGCTCGGGGCTCGCTTCTCGGGGGCCTGCCTTGGAGCTGCCCTGGGCAAAGGCTGCAGTGCAGAGCCGTCCCCCCATTCTGCTGCCAGCACCGGGACTGGGCCGTACCCCGACTGCTGCTCCCTCCCTCTTCGGAACAAGCTCCTCCGTGGACTGTGGGTGGATTCTGTCTGTTCATTCATCTTCTAGGAGTTTCGTCTGCCTGACGCCTGAGCATCCCGCCTGCCGGAGATGGGTTAATAGGGGAATCGCCACGGGGGAAATGGCCTGTCCCTCGCTGCAAACCACCCGGGACTAGGAGCAACGTGTGGCTGGCAGTAGCCAGCAGGTGCTGGGTGCAGGAGTCTCGAACCCCACGCTCAGCTGCACCCCACACTTTTATGGATAACATTTAATTGACTCCATGCTCAGCTCTGCCTGGTAGGATTCCTGCTCGCTGGGCATCCCCTCCTCCCCCACCTTTTGTTTGGCTGCTGCAGAGGTGTCAACGTGAGGGTGTTTGGGGATTGAAACCCCATCCCAGCATTCAAGTCAAGTGAACCCAGCTCAGTCCCTAGGCCTGAGGGAGTGGGGATGGTAGCAGGGCAAGTCCCTGCTAAGCAAGGCTGCCTGGTGAGCATGGAGCTGGTCCATTTTTAGCTTGTTCTAGGTAGCAGAAGCTGGGGAAAGTCTCTGGAGCTGGGAGCGTGTGAATGCTGCCTGAGAACCCCTCACTGGGAGAGAGGCGAACTGCTCTCTCCTCACCCAGTGCTCCCCAGCTGGTCTGTGACCCTCACTCCAAACTCCCTGGGGAGAGAGCTGGATTTGAGGCTGCTCCTAAACCCAATTGGGAAGGTGGATGAGACACGTCTATCCCATCGAGTCTGTCTGCTCCCCTTTTCCAGTGTCCCCTCTGGTTTCAGAGGCCTAGCCTAGAGAGGGCAGCTCCCATCACGTCTCAGTGTCTTTATGGAGCAAAACATTCACCTGCAGATCTGACCCTGGTGCCTCCAGCCTCAGCTCCATGCAATCCTTGGAGCTGCTTTCAGGGATGGCAGAAAACAGTAGGACACCAGCTCCTGGGAAGATGTTCTGTGTCAGGTGAGGAGTATTGAGCCGGATGTTCCCCGCAGGGCAGGATGCTGAGACAGAGGGATCCCAGGGCAGCTTGTTCTGTGACTGAGAAGAGTTGGATCCAGACTGGCTTTGCCAAAGCGCTTGAGGCTGGTACAGCGAACCCCAAAGTCAGAAAGCAGGGTCCCTAATCCCGCTTGATCCACAATCCCCACTCCCAGCCCCAGGTGGATGGGGCAGCACGTGGCCAGCTCAGAGCAGTAGGGACAGAGAGAACAGAACAAAAGCTGCACAGATATCAGCCAGAAAAGGAAGCGTCACTTGGTCTGGTCCTGGGTGCTTTTCTGGGCAGGCCAGCCAGCCCCACGTCCTGACTGTTGCTCCATTTGGCATCAGTTCCGTTAACTGCACCAGGCTTCCCACGCACTACCTGGGCCAGAACTCCGTCTTTTCCTGATCTGGAAACGAGTCATGCCATCTCCCAGCGACTCCAGCCATTCCCTGACTGGCCGCTCCTCCCGCAGCCTCACCCATCTCCGAGTGCAGAGGACCTGGCTGCAGATCCTGCTGGTGCTGGGCTTCATCCAGGTCATCCTGGGCATCCTCGTCATCACCTTCAGCCTTGTGGCAGCTACCATCACGCCTTCCACCAAGGTCCGGCACTCCTGCCCCTCCTGGGCCGGCTTCTTGGTGAGTCTCCTGGTTCTCACAGACAAGGAGCTGCCATCTCCAGGGAATCTGGGGAGTCCCCAAGCAGCTCAAAGGTGCTGGCCCAGGCCTTGGGTGGCCAATTGTGTGTGCTGCTGGCCTTTCTGGGGGCTGGTTGGGGAGTCAGGTGGGAGCCAGCTGCTGTGTGGCTGGGGGAGAGTGTCGGGGGGGACACGACTCCTCCCCTTTAGCTTTTGTTGGCTAGGAGAGTTTCCAAAATAATTCTCAGCAATGCCTTCCCCCCCCCCCCCCCCCCGAAATCCCCCTGAGGCTTCCCGTTGTACTTCCTCCAGGCCAGCTCGCTGCCCTCATGGAGCTACTCCTACTTCCCCATTTCCTGGGCCATCAGCCCTAGCCCTCCCTCGCCCAGGGAGAGGGTGTGCCACAGCCCTTAATGCCCCCTTACAACCCCAGGGGTTCAGGATGGTCCCTGGTTTACCAATGGGGCTGCAGGCCTACAGGAGCTGGGAGAGGCCCTTGGCAGCTCCTGGATCCCTCCCCTGTGTTCCAGACACTTGACGCCCCCTCTCCCAGCTCACCTTGGACCCACCCCTCCTGCCTGCTCCAGCAGCACAGACCTCTGCTGGGGATGCCTGGCCATGGTCCTGCTGTCCGGCTCAGAGCTGCCTGCAGGCCCTGGGCTCTCCAGAGTGCCCTGAATCAGCACTTTCCTCAAGCTCTCCGCTCCCTTGGCCTCTGGCTCCTGCCTGTTGGCCGGCCTTGCTGCCGCCACCCGGGATGGGCCCCGCTCCCGAGGCTAGGCCTTGGCCCCAATCCCTCTGGGACCAGCTTTGGGGGCTGCAGGGCTCGGAGGACGGTTTGTGGCCTGTGGGGGTCTCAGGCCTCCTGCCCCTCCTCTCTCCTTCCCACTGTAATTCCTGTTCTTCTGTCCCCCCAGCTGGCGCTGTCCGGGCTCGTCGGCATCGTCTCCTGGAAACGGCCCTTCACCCTGGTGGTAGGTGTCTTCTGCGTGTGGGCTGTGGGTGTCCTCACGGACCCAGGGCTGGGCCTGGCCCCTCACCCAGCTTCTGTCTTGGGGCACCACGGTCACCTGCTTCTCCTCTGCCCTGCACCAGGACGGGGAGGGCAGAGCGAAAAGGCAATCCCCTGCGCACGCATGCGTGTATCACCTGTGCTGTCTTCTAACATGCATGCTGGCCTGTTGCCTCTCACTCCCCTGACATGCCTGCCTAGCTCATGACCTCTGTTTGTCCTGGCTGCAGATCACCTTCTTCACGCTGCTCTCCGTGCTGGGCGTCATGCTGAGCCTCGCCGGCTCCATCCTCTCCTGCCAGAACGCTCAGCTGGTGAAGTCCTTGGAGGCCTGCACTAGGGTAAGGCCTGACCCAGCCCAGCCCTTCGAGGGACAGCCCCTTTGGGAAGTGGGCACACCTGGGGGAGGCTGCAGATCCATGCCTGTGGCTGAGCGGAGTGGGCTTAGCCTTGGGCCTGGGGCAGGGCAATGGGTCCATGGGAGGGAGGGGCCGTATCCCAGCTGCACGAAGGGGGGGCTAGGCTGGGACAGTTCTTGAGGCTGGTTCTTGTGGAAGGGACCTGCTGGCTGGGCAGATGGTGCAGTGGCAGGATTCCTTGTGTCTGGCCCTGGGGACTCGGCCATTCCTTACTCTTAGGGTTGCCAACCCTCCAGAATTGTCCTGGAGCCTCCAGGAATGAAAGATTATGCCATGTGACGAAACCTCCAGTAATACATCCAACCAAAATTGGCAACCCTACTCACTCTGGGTCTCTCCTCCCTCCAGGAGAAGGACTCCTGTGTCTGCTGCCAGGCCCGCTCTGAGTATTCATCCATGGGCCCCGCCTGCAGCAGGCAGGGCGAGACACTGACCATGTTCCCCAACCCTGACTGCCGGAGCGTCCGCATGGCTCTGAAGGTAACTGTGCGGGCTGCACTGGGCAGGTGGGGAGGCTTGCAGTCTGCAGGGGTTCTCTGTGCGGGAGACGGGGGGCTTTGGAGCCTGATCAAGGCTCTCTCCACTGGGGTGGAGGGTGCTGGTGTCTGTGGTGGGGCTGTTCTCTGGGTGGCTTGTATCTGGGGGGGTCCTTTCTATGCTTTCTGCATTGGGGGGCAGCTTGGTGTTTTGGGATGGGGGGAGAGGTTCTCTCTATGCTCTCTGCACAGAGCCTGGGCACACTCCGAGCAGCATCTCTCGGGCTCATTCCCATCTCCCCTCCATCCCAGGATCTTCTATTCAGTGTTTGTGGCCTGACCATCTTCTCCACCATTGTCTGCACGCTCTCAGCTGTCATGTGCTGCATCCAGATCTTCTCCCTGGACATTATCCATGTGGTGAGTCCTGGCCTGGCCTGTGGCTCCTCTCCCAGAGAATTCCCGCTCCACAGGAATCCAGGAGCTCGGGGTTGGAGGGTCAGGCCCTGGGGATGCTGGAGAGAACCCGGCAGGGACTGGATCCTGCCCTCAAATCTCTTTGCACCCTGGGTGTGTGTGTGTGTGTGTGTGTGTGTGTGTGTGTGTGTGTGTCCTGCCTGTCCGCAGGGACACAAGCAGCAGCTCCTTGGCATTTGCAGTGGTGCAATGTGCTGGGACTGGGAGTAGGGGGCACTGGAGCTGCTCCCCCGACACCTCTCTGGGTGAGTAGGGCCAACAGCAGGGGAAGGGGATGTGTCCTGTCCCCCACCTAGGCACCTGTCCCGAGGCGCTGGCAGGCTCCCCTCTCACTCCCCTCTCCCTGCAGCTGGCCCCACAGCGCTCCAGTTCGGTGACCCTGGAGTGCACGTCGCCCCCAGACCCTTTCCTGCAGAACATGATGGACTTCGAGGAGTTTGTGCCCCCGGTGCCGCCGCCCCCGTACTATCCGCCGGAGTACACCTGCAGCTCCGAGACCGACGCCCAGAGGTACTGATGTGCCGGGGGGGAGGGCAGTGGGGTGGGCTCTGAGGCAGGGAGCGGAAGCCCATTGCTGAGTTGTGGGTGGGGGACCCCAGGGACACACAGGATCAGCAGGAGCACAGGGCAGTGAGGAGAGAGCCCGAGGTGGGGCTGGAGGACAGGGAAGCCTGAGGTGGTTGGGAGCAGGGGAGAAGCCAAGCTGGGGTTGGGGGCAGAGGTAGGGAGGGGGAGGCCAGGGCAGGGCTTGGGGAGGACCCAGGGTACCTCCAGGCAGGGTTCAGCCTGGACCCCACTAGGCTGCATCCATGGGAGGTTTGGCGCCCCATTGTGGCTGATGCACCTTTCCCATGTGAACCCACAGCATCACCTATAACGGCTCCATGGACAGCCCCGTGCCTCTCTACCCCACCGACTTCCCCCCATCCTACGAGACTGTCATGGGACTCCGGGCAGTCAGCCAGGTAAGGAGCCCAGGGGCTCTCGGCTTGGCCAGGCCCAGAGCTGGGCGGTCGTTCAGAGAGGTGGGGCTGGCAAGGAGCAGGCGGTGCCTGGCCCAGTCCTCTCGCCAGAGGCTCAGGGTGCCCCAGGTCAAACCACAAAGTGAAGGGTGAGGGAGAAGCCAGAGCTGGGTTGGGCGAGGGGATGGAGGAGCCGTACACCAGTGCCAACCTCTCCCAGGAGGGGGGTTGGGGGCAGGAGCACGGGCTGGGGGGAGAATCTAGTGCGCAGCATCTCCTTGCCGGTACGGCTGCGTATGGTTCTGTGATGTGACGTGGTTGTGCCCACCCTGCAGGCCACCCTGTTTGATTCGCAGCTCACGGATCCGTCGCACGGCTGCACCTGTGACCACGTTCCCTCCATCGTGCTCAGTGGGGAAGGTAACAGGGTCCTTGGGCAGCAGCTGGGGGCAGGGCCCGGGTGGGAGGGAGCAACCTGTGCCCAAGTCTGCCCATGACTGGGTGAGAGCTGGGGGCTGGAGTGGCGGGGGCAAAGTCCTGGTGAGCACCGTATGGGTGCGCTGTGCCTGTGGGCTTGGTGGAAGGACAGTGGCACGTGCCCAGTAGGGGTGGAGCTGGGAGTCCCGTGCCTGTGAGCTGGTCCCCCACAGGGCTGGGCTCGGCGCTCCCAAGGCAGGTACCCTGGGGACGTGCTCCAATCCCTCCCAGAGAGCCCTGCGCATCCCGCTCTGCCTGTGTGCCTTGCAGTGTCCATGGACAGCGGCTCCCTGGTCATGTCCGAGATCATCGACATCCCCGGCGACAGCAGCCCCTCGGAGGACTCCTGCCTGCTGGAGCTGCAGGGCTCCATGCGCTCGGTGGACTACATCCTCTTCCGCTCCATCCAGCGCAGCCGTGCGGACTACTGCCTGAGCGTGGACTGCGTGCAATGCGGCCACCATCCCCGCAGCCCCACGCTGGGCCTGCAGGGCCCCTTCGAGGATATACCCCAGCCCCGGGTGCGGGGGGAGCGCTCTTACTCCTGCTCCACCCCTGGTCCCAGTTACGAGGGGCTCCTGGAGCCAGGCGGGGCTGTGACCCACAGCTGCAATCGTCTGGAAGGGCTGGCTCGCTGCGCTGGGCCCTGCTTCCCTGAGGTGCGACTCAAGGGCAAGACCTTGCTGCCAGGGCATCAGGGCACCAGTTCCACCGGCTCCCTGTACCCAGACCGCGGGCACCGCGGCCGTCAGCGACGCAACAGTGAGACGTCCTGCCTGCTGGGCCCAGCCCGGGGCCTGAGCCAACGGCCGCTCGTGCGGTCGCACAGTGACCCCGGCATTGCTGTTGCCGGTGATCCTGGTAGGTGGGAATTGCCTGGGGGAGCAGGGCTGGCATGGGTGCCCATGTGTCAGTCTGTTCTCACTCATGCACTTGGGGGTTGGGGATGGACCAAGGGGTGTTCCAGGGGTTGCTGGTCAGTGGTCACTGATAGGTTGGGTGGGTGCGGTTTGCAGGCAGAGTGGAATTGGTGCACGGATTGATATGCAGCTCATGCCAGGGGACTGGTGCACGCCTGGCAGTGGGTGGGTGCCACCAGCCCATGCAGGGGCTGGAGTGTGTGCGATGGCATGCCCATGCACAGTGCTTGTATGAGGAAATGGGTGCGTGCAGCCGATGGGCTGATGCATGGTCATGTGATGGGATCTAGGGCAGGAGGAGGGCAGAGCCTGAGTATTTACCACTGGCTTTCTTTCTCCTTCCAGCCGACTTGAGGGATCTGCTTTATACCAAAGCGCTGGAGGATGACGCATCCAATTCTTCAGCAGACACAGGTCAGGGCAGAGACCGGTTTAGGATGAGTGGGGGATGGGCTGGAAATCACTGGGGGGCTGATGAGTGACCCCTTTACTTGGGAGTGGCTGGCAGCGTGCTGTAGTGCCCCCTTCCGGGGGAGGCTGGGAGCAGAGTAGCCTGGAGCTCCCCCACAACCAGCACTCCTGCCCTGCTCCCTAGAGCATCCCCTGCTGGGGGAGGCTGGCTCAATAGGAAGGCCCTTCACCCCCCCAGAGTGCATTGCAGCCCTAGGCCTCTTGGCCACAGCCTCTGGGGACCATGGGGCCTGTGCTCCCCTGTGGCCGCGGTTCTCACTGGCCAGTCTCCGTACAGGACTGTGCTCTGAAGCCTGCCTGTTCCGGCTCTCGCACTGCGACTCGCCCCCGCTCCTCCGGGCCGCCTCTGCCAGGAAGAACAAGCTGCCAGTGCCCAAGAAGGTGACACAGCGGCTGTCGAAGGCAGCAACGCGCTCCCTGGGGGATCTGAAGGTTTGTCGTGGTACCCGGGGGCTGGTGGCCAGGTTCCTGCAGAGATCCAAGCGCAGCCTGGCGTCTGGCGTGGAGATGGCTGGGCACAGCTCCCAGGGCCACAAACAGGTAGGGGCTCCGTATTGGCCACGCTCTGCGCGCAGGGCAGCTGAGAAGCCCTGGCAGGCCCCGGGCTTCCCATCCCCCTGGGCCCAGGCCTGGATTGTCCCCTACAGGCATTTCCAGGCCCAGTTCTGTCTAGCTCGGCGTCCCCTGCACCTGCCCTTCCCTGGGGAGACTGCCTGGCTGGGAGCTCCCAGGTCCCTTCTTGCTGGGCGATGGCATCCTGGAGCCACTTGCTGCAGAGTCAGCCTATTAACCCCTGATTATCCCAGCCCCTCTCTATGCTTGCCCGGCTGAGTGCCTGACAGTGAGCTCATCAGAGGGACGTGACCCTCTGTACGCTCTCCTCCAGGCCACATTGGCCCTCGGGCTGCCATAGCCACAGCAAACACCTGCCCATTGCCTTGGCGCTCTCTGCTGCCCCTCCCTTTCAGAGCCAGCTCCAGGCACCAGCAGAGCAAGCACCCGCCTGGGGTGGCACATGCGAAGGGGCGGCATTCCGTCCATTCTTGGGGCGGCACCGTCCGGGCGACTTTTTGCGCTTCGGCAGTCTGAACTGCCTTTTCTCTGAGCAGGGCTTCTCGGGGGCTCCTGCGTGCCCTGGGCTTCGGGAGCATTTGCCCCTTGTTCTGCTGGGCTGGAGGAGCTGGGGCCTGCCTGTTTCTCTCTGACGGTTCCCGCCTGGGCTCCATGGGGAAGCAATGGCGGCTACAGCTAGGAGAGGGGATGGGCCCCACATCAGTGAGATGTGTAGGGCCGGGATGTGGCTCTGCAGCTCAGTGTCCCTGTGGTCCAGGGCCAGTCTGGGAGCAGGGGACTCCTGAGTCCTACAGTGCTCCTGGCTCTGCCACTGACTCAGTCCCATCTTGGCCTCTGTTTCCCACTTGTAAAAAGGCGCCCATGACCCTTCCCTGCTCCCAGATTAGTGAAGGTCGGTGAGGTGCTGCCTGCATTGCTCAGTGTGGGAGGCTCTGGAAGGACCCAGCCTGCATTGGGTAACAGTCTCCAGGAACTCTGGGGCTTGGCTGGTCTGTAATTGCAGCTTGTTGGCCCAGTGCATACCTTTGCCACATGTCACCAGCCCTCTTCCCCTGCACTTTCCTTTCCGGGCCATTCATGCTGACGTTCCTCCTCCAGCCGTCATCTCCCCAGATTGCAATTAGGCTCCCTGCTTTGACGAAGCTATTAGGTCACGATCTTGGCCTCTGAGCTGAGACTTTAGTGCACTGTGTCACGGAGTCCCCGGGCGATGCTCTGGAACTGCTCCCCACAAAGCCAGGCAGGACTCTGGGGAGCCTCCTCCCCCCCCGGAGCAGACTGTCTTCAGGGCAAGAAGCTCACACGGCTTCACCTCCTGGGTCTGACCTTGGAGCATTCAGTATATGCCCCTCTATGCACTTCCCACAGCGAGTCCGCCCAGGCGGGGTCCTGGGGCAGCCAGAGGGTCCTACATCCCCACTTTGCAGTCAGACGTGACTCTTAGCCAGCCAGTAAAACAGAGGTTTATTAGATGACAGGAACAGGGTCTAAAACAGAGCTTGTAGGTCCAGAGAACGGGATCCTTCAGCCGGGTCCATTCTGAGTCACAGGCTGCTCACACTGTCACGCGCCAGGGCCAGCTGCCCCCTTGCCTCAATGCCTGGCTCTGGCGTCTATCTGCTCAGGGGTGACTGGGGGGAAGGTGCCTGCTCCCTGGGCTCTCAGGGCTCCTCTTTGGGGTGCCCCCACCCCCCCAGTCTGCATCCCGACACTCGCTGGGGGCTGTTCTGCCTGGCAGGGCTTCTCCTGGATGGGCCCTTGGGGCGAGGTTCCTGCTGTCCTCACCCCTGCCCTTGTTGCTGTGGCTTGCCAGGTGCCCCGGAGCCCATGGCAGGCAGCAGAGCACACGCTGCCGGAAGGGATTCACTTGCAGAGCTGCGGGGACCTGAGCTCCACCTCCTCGCTGCGTCGCCTCCTGTCTGCCCGCCGGCTGGAGCGCAGCCGTCCGCACAGCCTCAACGGGGTCTACAAGGAGAGCATCCTCTGAGGGGAGGCCTTGCCTGACCCTCTCATACCCCAGCCCAGCTGGGAGTCTCCACCAGCATCAGGCTCTCTCTGCCTGGGGTCCACAGCAAGAACTGGAAGCAGCCGGGGCAGGCCTTTCCCCCGGGTGCTGGGGAGGGGCCAAGGGCTGGCTCATTCCCAGCAGACATTCCTCGCTGCCAGGCGACAGTGGGAGAAAGCACAAGCTGAGGAGACACACGCAGACCGCCAAGGGCAGAGCACCGTGGCCTGGTTCGGCGGATCTCCGCGTGGGACTCTGGGAAGGAGGAGGCGCTGCAGTCTGTGGATTGCAGTGGGGACTGGTGGACATGGACACAGCCTGCTTTGTGCTGAGAGGCAGTGCCTGCCCCCGTGCTCGCTCCGAGGGGCCAGCGTGCTTTGGACCGTCACCTGCGGGGGTGACACGGGGTGTTCCTGGGGCTGAGCCCTTGCTGTATATCGGACAGGGCTATTGCAAAGCGTGTGTGTGTGGGGGGGTCTACACAGGCCCTCCTTGTATTAATAACCCAATAGCAGGGGGCGAGCCTGGTCCCGCCTCCTGCTCTGCAGTCTGCTGGTCCAGACGCTAACATGGTTCCCCGAGTGAGGAAGCTGGGCTCAATGTGCACGGTGATGTCCTCCCACGACAGGCCTGGGCCTCGTGTGGCCCCTGCATTCAGGGAACGCTCGCTCACTGGCTGGCTAGGGTGCCTCACAGGGCCATCTGTGTCAGGGTGATTGAGCCCAACTCAGCCCTGCTCCCCCTAGATGCTATGCACCCCCTTTCTGGAGTGGGGGAAGGAGGGGCAGGGCAGACCAAACTGGGCTTCCCTACAACTGCCCTCCTCTTCTGGCAAGTCCACAACCCCCGAGCGGAGGCTGCAGCCCCTTCCCATAGAGAGTGACCTTCCCTTTTGTCCCCTTCTCCAGCTCATCTCATCTCCCCAGCCCTTCCCCACCCTGGCCTGGCCTGAGCTGTGGGCCTGGATCTTACGGCGGAGCTCTGTCTTGAGAACAGGGCCATGCCCAGTGCAAGACCTAGGCCCTGGAGAAGGCCCAGCCTCCATCGGGCTTCAGGGAGTGGGGTCAATCGGCCCCACCAGGTTTAGGGGCAGAACCAAAGCCCTCTGTGCACTAAGTCCCCATCCCTGGGCTCTGGCAGCCTCTTCCTCCTCCCCCGCCAGCCAATGCCTTTGCTTGTATGCTGCATGCTGCGATGCAGCTCTCCCCTCTCTGGGATGGTGGGGGGCGGGCAGGGGGCGTGTGTGTGTGTGTGTGGGGGATTGCACTTTTTTACCTCGGGAAGCATGTTGGGAACTCCTGCAGGGAGTCTCCACTGCAGGCGCTTTAAGCTGCACTGACACTTATACAAGAAACCAAATAAAGTTATACACCCCCTGGAGCCAGCTTGGGTTGCCTCACGTCCGTCCGGCCTGCCGTGGACCTGCACCAGCTCCCTCCACTCTACAGCTGGGACAGCTCCGGCTCAGACCAGGAGAGTGGGGAAAGGAGCCCCGGTGCCCTCGCTAATCTGTCATGGGAAAGAAAACAAACCTCTCTTTGGGACAGGGACAATGGCCCCATTCTGGCATTGTCTGCGTGGGGGGCATCTGTTCATTGCAGGTGTTGGGGGTGTGTGCATCTGTGTATGGAGGCATGTGCATGCTCACAGGGTGTGAGGGCCGTGCGTACGGAGGGGTGCGTCTGGGCACAGGGTGTGAGGGCCGTGCGTACGGAGGTGTGTGTCTGGTCACAGCCTGTGAGGGCCGTGTGTATATGGAGGTGTGCGCATTGAGTCAAACACTAGAACAAATGACCTAGGGCGGTTGTGGAACTGCAGTCACTGGAGGTTTTTAAGAACAGGTTAGACAAACCCGTCAGGGCTGGGTTAGATAATACTTACTCCCGCCTCTGGGCAGGGGACTGGACTAGGTGACTTCTGAAGGTCCCAGCCTGTCCTACATTCTATGAGCCTGAACTCCGTGGGTGGATCTGTTCGGTGCACACGTGCATTGGAGGAGGCCAGTCCCTCCCAGCTCCAGCCCCACTCTAGCTTTTGGCTGGAGGCTCGGGCTGCTTCTTAGGAGCCTTGTTCCTGGGCTCTGCTTCCCCAGCTGCGGGTGGGCAGGAGCCAGAAGAGAGAGTGCTTCCCTCGCTGTGCAGCTGAGACACCCCACCGGACTGGCCTGGGCTACCAGCAGCAGCTTCCACGCTCCCTGGGGAAACTGCTCAGCTGAGGAGGGGGCAGCGTAGGCTGCTGGGAATGGGGGCCAAGCTGGGGGGAAAGAGGAGTCTGAGGGGAACTGCAGGTGAGGCAGTGGGCTGAGTGCATGTGCCAGAGAGAGAAAATCCCTGCGGGGGCAGTTGGACAGGGGAGGGTTGGGCAGTGAGGGCCGGGCCAACCTGAGATGGTCTCTGACCCTGGGGGGGCAAGGGCTGGTTTGCTTCAGCTGAGGGTGAGAGGGCAGCTGGTGGTGATAAGGAACCTTTACATAACTCTCCAGGCCCTTACACAACAGGGTGCGCACCAGGCCAGGGACTCATCACTGCAGGGCTGGGGCCAGGGCGGGGAACCTGTGCTGTCTCTGCTGGCAGGCTGTGGGCATCTGCCCTCGGTTTGCCCTCTGCCACCTCTCGCTGCTTTTCTGAGGGGATCTCTCAGCTCCAGGGAGGAGCCGCTCACAGAACTGAGGGGCCTGGGTGTAAGTGAAGGGGTGCTTTGCAGGCAGGGCCCTGCCAGCTCCCCCTTTGTACCAACCTTGCCCACCAGTGCCCAGGCCAGCTTGTTAGCATTGACCCGCTGGGGGGACTGGGTGCCAGCACCTATCGGGGTGGGGGGAGAGGGGTTAGGGTCCCCACTTGCTCCCGGGCCCCTGCACTTCCCCAGCGGGCACCGCAGCTCTTCTCCGCAGCCCAGGGGGAGGGGACCTGCCGCGGGGCTCCGTGTCCTCTGCGCCCCGGGGAGAGCGGCGGAGACACGCTGCTCTCTGCGTCCCAGGGAGAGCCCCTGCACCACTGGAACTTGGGTGTGACGGGCTGGCGGAGCCCCCGGCCCAGCCTGTCCGGCTCGGCCCAGCCCCAGGCAATCCCGGCCCGGCTCGGCTCGGCTCGGCCCGGCCCCAGGCAATCCCGGGCCGGCCCGGCCCCAGGCAATCCCGGCCCGGCTTGGCTCGGCTCGGCCCAGCCCCAGGCAATCCCGGCCCGGCTCGGCTCGGCCCGGCCCC